GCCTGTGTATTAGCTCCATTAGATTATTGTTGAGTTTGTCTTATTGTGTGGCTCTCAGTAGGAAAACATGCTACCAAATGGAGAAGAGACTCAGATTATTTTCTTCCAACTCTGCTACTAGTAGATTATAGAGCCAGGTGGAATACAGGTTCTCTGACTCTGGAACTTGCGTTGCTTTTGACCAGTGCTGCTGTATCAACAATGCTGAGGTCTGAGTTTAAACATCAGCAAGGTTGACAGCTAGGAAGGGCTGACTTTGCTTAGTTCCCTGTCACTGCCATTTTAAATGCAGTTTATTTGCTGGTGCTTTTTGTGCAGGTAAATTGTGTTCTTGGCTTCTTTATCAGAAAATAAAGCATTGATTAGAATGAAGAATTTGACTTCTTTTTAAAGGAATAAATCTTTAAATGTGTACTGTTTATGCAGTTGGTCCCAGGAATATTTTTGGAATTATCTGTAGAGGGGGAACTCACTTCTGAGACACTTCAACAAACTAGTAATTAGTGCTGCTTTATTATAACAGTGCAGAATGGGTGTAGAACTTAGATATTTTATATAATTACAGTCCAGAATCTATTCATGACACTTCCTTCTGTACATAGTGAGGGCCCGTCAAATAGCTCAGCAGATGAAAGCGCCTGCAAGCTGGTGCAAGGGCTGGGGGTTTGATCCCCAGACCTGCCATGCCGGTCCTGCCATTGGGGTGCGCTGAGACTATTGAGACTGGGCATGGTGGAGCACGCCTGTAATCCCAGCTCTTGGGAGGCTGTAAACAGGAGAATCACTATGAGTCCGATTGTAGTGAGACCCTGAACACCCTGTAGACCCTTCCCTAAAATACAGAAAAAAAGTCCATGGTGAAATTGAATTAAAACATTTTCAGTGGTGATATAGAAATAGTTACAATTATAAACAGCATAAAAGTATTCCATTGTTAAGTATTTGCTGTTGATTCATTGTATTACTTTCTGTTAAATTACCCTGAAAGCTTACGCCTGCTATGGTTTTGTGCGCTTAGCTGCATTTGTTTTCAGACAGTAGGCCGAAAGTGTCTCTCCTGCCTAATGCTTCCACCTTCTTTCCTTAGATAGGTGAACGTGTATGGCAGAGTGCCACTTTCTAGGCATGTTCCACCCTGTGAGTTACTTACCTTACTTTCTTTCTTTCTTTCTTTCTTTCTTTCTTTCTTTCTTTCTTTCTTTCTTTCTGTCTTTCTTTCTTATTTTAGGGAACGGTCTACAGGGTGTTCAGGGTATAACTACCAGATCAGACTCATAGTGATTCTCCTGTTTACAGCCCTCGAAATGCTGGGATTACAGGTGCGCTCCACCATGCCCAGTCTCAGTTGCCCTCTCAGTGTGACACAGGGGTGGGGCCAGCATGGCAGGCCCGGGGACTGAATCCCTGACCCCTGCACCTGCTTGCAGGTGCTTTAATCTGCTGAGTTGTTTGGCCAGCCCTTGTCCCCTCTTTCTCTTAAACTGTTGCCACTTGGTATTCCTGTTGGTCTTCTCTGTGGTATGTTATATGGAGTATAATTATCTAAATATGTATGTGGTTTCTTTTTCATTTTTTGAGACAGGGTCTTGCTATGTAGTTCAGGTTGGCTTTGAACTCATTATGTAGCCCAGATTGGCCTTGAACTCCAGGCCATCCTCCTGCCTCAGTTTCCCAAATGCTGGGATTATAGGCATGCACCACTATGCTTGGTTACATACTTGATTTCTATCAGGCATTATAAATTATGTGAGGATGTGAGTAATAGTTGAAAAGGATATTGCAGTCTCATTGATAAAACATCTCTTAATCTCAGATAATTTTTTCTAGGATTCTAGTTAAGTAAAATTGAATTTAATAACCTTTATGTATCTGATCTTTAGGTAAAGTTAAATTACATACAAGCGCCATATGAGCAGAGCCTGTTCCATTTCCTACAGTATCTAGAACTGTACTTGGGAATTTATTTAATAATTAAATATGGGTAGTGAAGATGAAAGAATCATAATGGTTGGGATAATGAATTTTTGGACTGTTTCAAATTTCTCTAGTTTATACAGTCCATTAGGTGTTGGAGAAAAAGATATGAGGATTTGGTCTATAGCCTCATTCATTTTATTTGTTCAACAAGTACGTATTAACTTGCTATTTTGTGCTGGTGCACTGTCTTAGGAATTGGGTGTGCAGGAGTAAATAGTCCTGACTGCTGCCCGCATGCTGCTTACAGTTTGAAAAGACCAGGGTGGGAGGAGGGGAGAGAGCAGAACTGAAAAAGAGTTGTAAACTGGTTGCTGTGTTTGTTTGACTGGGAGGCTATTTTTGTTTTTTCTGTTGCCAATCCCTGTAACACAGTAATCATGACTAATCAGGTTCCCATAGAATTGAGTTGTTATTAGCTTAGAACCACGGGGCATCCAAGCGCGGGAAACTGAGGCAGGAGGAACATTGTTTGGGACTATCCTGGGCTACAAAGTGAGCTCAAGGCCAGCCCAAGTTGCATAGCAGGACCCTGTCTCAAAAAGACAAAAATGGAAAAACAAAACAAGAACAGCAGGGCAAGCCTGTGGCACAGGTACTGCAGTGGGCGCACACAGTCCCCTGTTAGCGCACAGCCAACTTGCCCCAGCAGCTTAGCAGTTTCGTTTTTTTTTTTTTTTTTTTCTTTTTCTAATCTGAAACCTCAGTGTTGCATTCAGATTTCATTGCAGTGTTGGCAGTTTGTGATAAATAGGTTTTGGGTTGTAGTTGGGGCACTATTACTGGCTGAGGAAATAGTGGGAGGACTGGCATGCAGATAACAAGATCAGAACGTGAACATTCTCGACAGCCTCATGTACTGTGTCAAGGAGACTCAGGAGAGCCACCCTCTTGGCTGAGGGAGAGGAGTGGCCCCATGGTGTAGGGGACAGCGGTGGGTGCGGTTGTGAGCCAGGCTTCCAGCTGCGCCCTTAGCCGCATGATCTGTCTGTGAGGCAGAGAGCTGCCAGCTCTGCTTCCGAGAACCTTCTCAGGCTGCCCCTTCCTCTGCACACCCTCCCGGAGCATCCCTGCCTTTCCTCTTCTGCCTGTTGAGAGTCTCTGATTTTGTGTGAAAAGTGAACTTCTTGGCTAAGAAAAATGTGAAAATCCATGGACTAGGTGATCACCAAAATCTTTCAGTCATAATCATCCAGTGATTATTCTAAGAATTTATTTTTTACACAGGTAATATACTACCTAAAATTTTTTTTTGTTGGGTGAAAAATACCTTTTGACTTGTGATATGGGAGTGACACAGAGGGTCCATGTAATTTGTGTATGTGTGTGCGTGTGTATGTGCATTGTGACACTGGGGGTTGAACCCAGACCCTTCGCAACTGATCTGCAGCTCCAGCACTTTTTTAGTTTCTGTTTTGAGGCACATCTTGGTATATCCCTAACTTACCCAGGCTGGGCTTAAACTTTTGTTCTTCCTGCCTTGGGCTCCCAGAGCACTGAGATTACAGGCATGCACCTGCAAGTGCAGGATTACATGCCTGGCAAATTTTAGTTTTTTTATACAGTACCTTTTCACATTTCCATAAGTTACTGTATTCCTTCCTGCCCTGGTTTCCTCTTCTGTGAAGTGTACCTCATTATACTTCCTCTAGAATGTTGTTAGTGGCTTTCACTGCAGAGTCAGATTTCTTTATGAGTTGATGAAAATGTTCTACAGTGACAGAGGTGGTTGTATGACTGTCCCTTAAGTGAGTGGACTTTTTTTTTTTTTTTTTGTGGAACCGGGGATTGAACTCGGGCCCTTGAACTTGACAGGCAAGCACTCATTCTACTGAGCTATCTCCCTGGCCCATGAGTGGACTTTTTGGTCAGCAAATTATATCAGTGAAACTGTTAAAATCGTGGTTACCCTCTTCTCTTGGATTTTAGCATTTCCTGGATTCTTTTTCCTCTGCATATGAATGTGCTTTGCCCTCTCATCCTAAAGCAAAATGAGACAAAATGTGAGCCCCTCTATGGGCCACCTTGCTACTGCCATCTCGAGCTTTGTGCTTGTTTGTTTTGAGGCAAGGTCTTGCTGTGCAGTTCAGGATGGCCTGGCACTTACTGTGTAGCCCAGGTTGGCCTTGAACTCAAACCTCAGTCTTCCAGGACTGGGATCACAGGTGAGTGTCACCACACCTGGCTCATGCTTTATCTTCCCTCACAGTGCAGAGTTTTTAAAAGTTAGAAAGTAAGCAATTTAGAAATAATTTAGGGGCCGGGGAGATGGCTCAGTGGAATAAGCGCTTCCTTATTCCTCAGGCAAGGGCCTGAGTTCAAACCCTGGTTCCGCAAAAAAAAAAAAAAAAATTGTGGAAAAGTTAGAAGTTATGGATAATAGAAAAATGTTTAGATATTTAATCTTATCACCCAGCTGTAATCATTATTAACATGTATATAGTTGTAGGATGAGTAATTGAATCTTCTGTTTTTATGTCTAAAGAGTCATGAGGAAAGGTTAAGTTACTGTGTGATAGATCATTACATATTTTTATTACATAATTTTAAAAGATTTTTGTCTTTATAACATCAAGCATTGTAGGCTTTTATGCATGATTTGACTTTTTAATTTTTGTGTATTTTCTGAGTCAAATTTGAGGTTAACAGACCTAATGCTTTGCGAAGCGTGTAAGCTTATTGGATGGTATGGGTAGAACATATAAAATCTTATTGTCTTTTAGGCCACACTTGTTTTGTGGCTTTTGCTTAAGCCGTAGCCTGATATCAGAAGAGGATTTCAGTCTTAAATATTTTATTTTATTTTATTTTATTTTTTTTTAGTCTTAAATATTTTAGAGTGTGTCAAAGCGCCATGCCCTGTGAAATAAAAATTCCATGGATTCTATTCAGCATCTGTGGGCTAAGTGTCTGGCTGACATTGGCTGTAAATTGGGATGCCAGCTGGTAAGGTGAATGGATTTCCTGTTTTAGAAGTTATGTTGAGCTAATTTTATTGATCTTTTCTTCCTTTTGCACATACAGAATTAGACTGGTTGAGCAACCCAAGCTTTTGTGTTGGAACGATAACCGCGCTGAGCCAAGACACCAAGGAGGCCACAGCCCTTGTTTCCCAAGCGTCCGCACTGACAAGGTAGTTTTTTCTCAGATGCATTTTAGCCTTTGTTCACATAGTGTCTCGAGCTTAACCTAAATGATGTGTGTAGAAAACCCTGTAGTGAAAGAGCCCTGTAAAGCTCTTCCTTTCCTTAGAGTAATGGGGGGTGGCTGTTTCCTTGACCTCACTCCTATAGATTGTTCTTCTTGTTTTTTCCATTTTCCATCGCTGTAGCAAGGGCATGACACAATTACTGCCTATAACTAGGCCACGAGGGAAATGGCATCATTGTGAATTCTCAAGTAACTTTGCTAACCTCATTAGTAACCTTTAGGATATTGTAATTTAGAATTTCTTTAATTGCATATTCAACACTTTTGTAAAACTAGTCCATATTATATAAAATAGGATAAAATCTAATGAAAACATTGGAGAAAGAAGAATGACACATATCTCTACCCAGCTGTGAAATAATTTTTTGTAGATCACTGAATTGAGAAATACACTCTTTCACAAATAGATTAAAGAATCTCATTAAAATGGTAAAAACCAAAATCCTAAATGCCTAGGAAGCCTTTGGAAATTGATACTAGTTAACACTCAAGAAGAATTTTGTCTAGGATATGTCAGTAATGAGGAAGAACAACTCTCATTTTTGCCTTTAAAAACAAGGACCACAATTAAACCTTTTGTTTTTGTTTTTGGTCTTAAGGTTACTTTGTGGCACTGAAAATAAACCTTTAGTAATGTTGCTCAAATATTTTATCTGACAAAGTAACTAGTATGTTACCTTTATTTATTTATTTTTATGTATTTGGTACAGGGTGTCACTACACAGCTGGGACTGGTAGTGATCCTCCTGTTTTCAGCCTCCCTAGTGCTGGGATTACAGGCATGCACCACCATGCCCAGATTCAGTTGCTGGTTTAGTGTCTCCGGGGGCAGGGCCAGCATGGCATGCGGTACTGGGGATCAAACCCGGGTCCCTGTGCTTGCCAGAGCAGATGCTTAGTCTGCTGAGCTATCTCACCGGCCCTTATGTTACCTTCCTTTAAAGATGAATATATGTGAAGTACAGGTTTAGTTTAGAATGAAATGTTCTTCATGTATTTTAGGTAAAATTCTTAAGTCTTTAGGGTGAGTTATAATCCAGGAAAATAACTGTGTATTGTTCAGGTAAATAGCAAATTTGTGTGAGCATTTGTAGAGGTCCCTGTTACATATTTATTTATTGATTTATTTACTTCTTTACATAATATTTTCCTACTTCTGTTTTGGAAATAATTTTCATAAACAGGAGTCCTCTGAAATCAGAGCTTTCCGATGAAAGTGACACTAACACAAAGCTTGTACAAACAAGCAGAAAAAAGAAGAAGGAGAAAAAGAAAAAAAAGAAGCATCAGCACTACAAGAAGACAAAGAGGAAACATGGGCAGTCAGGTAGCAGTGAGTCTGAGCTTGATACTGACTCTGGAAAGGATGGATCGTCCAGAAGCATCAGGAGTAGTCGGAAGGAATCTGAGAAAGCCAGGTAGCTTGCTGTTCTGATACTGGCATTTCAAGTTTGAACTTTTCTCCCTTGATTATTGCCATAAGTTAGATATTTGAATGATTGTTTAGCGAATCAATTAAAGAGAACTCTAGCCAGGTGTAGTGGTATGGGCCAGTAACTCCAGAACTCTGGGAGGTGAGGCAGGAGGGTCACAAGACTGTGGCAAGCCTGCACAACTGGACAAGATCAGTTTAAATGGGCTGTAGTTCAGTGTGAATGCCCTGGGTTCACTCCCCAGCACAAAGGAGAGAAAAAGAAAGAACTTCTTTATTAGATCAACTTAAAAACAAAAGAGAAATTGTCATAAAAAATTAGGGCAATAATTTTGTTTGATAAATATCATTTAGACATAGTAATGATTGTGTCAAAATTTGATTTAGGCCAGGCAAGATGACATGGGAGTCCCAGGACTTCTGAGAATGAGGCAGGAGGATTACCTCACGTTCAAGGCCAGCCTGGGCTACATAGTAAGTTCAAAGGCAGCCTGAACTACCAAGCAAGACCTTGTTTCAAAAAAATGAAAAGGAGATCAGCTTTGGGGTTTCTGAAGGATGGCGCAGCGTGGCCCACAGCAGGCATGGGAGCAGCGTGCTGTGTAGTGAAGGGTTCCAACCCTGAGGGCTGTTGATATCTGCACTCGATACCAAAAGCATCTTGTTCATGTTCGTGCCATCTGTTCATGACCCCCATCTCACTTACTCTCGCTGTCTCTCACCTTGCACCCATTGTCTTCTCTCTTTGCTTAAGGTTAATGTAGCTCTTCAGTGGTTTTTGTTCTTCTCCTTTACTTACTTTTTTTTTTTTTTTTTTTTTTTTTTGTGGACCCGGGGATTGAACTTAGGTCCTTGTGCTTGCCAGGCAAGCATTTATTCTACTGAGCCATCTCCCCGGCCCCCTCCTTTACTTACTTTACATCTGCTGAGAACTGTTGTGGGGAAGGTGTGGGATAGCTGATGACTACTGTACTTCCTATTCTTGGGAGCTGTATTTCTCCTGCGTCTCCCTTTGCTGTGCACTTGAGCAGTGCTCCTCTTTGCGCAGAAGGGCTGCAGCATGGGTCCTCAGGATAGCTTTTCCTCTCTGCTTAGCTGAATGTCTTTCTATGTAGAAAGGCATGTTAGGTGGAAAAGATGGTATGTGGTGAAGCTGTTACTTCTATTATTAGAAGCAATTTTTTTTTTAAATGAAAATTTAATTTTTTTTTTTTTTTTTAAATGTATTTAGTACAGTGTCTACAGGGTCTCACTGCCCAGATCGGACTCATAGTGATCCTCCTGTTTTCAGCCTCCCAAGAACTGGGATTATAGACTCGTGCAGCCACGCCCAGTCTCAGCGCGCCCCGGGGGCAAGTGGGATGGAACCCTGGTCACTGTGTCTGCCTAAGCAGGTGCTTTAATCTGCTGAACTATTTGGCCGGCCCTTAGCTTTTATTTATTTATTTTTTAGATTTTTGACTCTGTCTCAGTAAGTTGCCCATATAAGCCTCCAACTTTGTGTGCTTTAGCCTCCCAGACTGCTGGTGTTACAGGTGTGTGCCACTGTACCCAGCTTCTGTCTATCTACCCACCCCACTCATTGATACAAGGGATCAAACCCAAGTCCTTATATGTGGTAGGCAAGTGCTGTACCACTAAGCCACATAGCTAGTCCATTATCTTTGCTTTTTAGTATGTCTTTAAAGAAACTACTTTTACAGCTTGTGAAAATTCACCTTTTATCTAATTGTCCTTTAGAGCTGAGTAAAGTGAGTTTTAGAGGATTTTCTGAAACTACGTAGGAAACACACGAAGATTTGGAGCATTATTAATTTCATCTTATGCCTTACCCATTTCAGAGAGCATAGCCTCTTGGTGGTTTTATGATCCAAGTAGAATTTTTAAGTTTGTTGTCTTGTGGGGTCACCTTACTAAGATCAAAATACATTGTGTCCTTCTCTTTACCTTTCTGCTATTAACTTCTAAGGTTTCTTCTTGAGAAGGTTGACCTGGAAGAACTGTTTGTTTCCACGTAGACAAAGATCATGATATTAGTGAGTTGTGAATGTCTTTTCCGTGATGTCAGGAGAGTGAGTTCAGGAGGGTAGCATAGCCTGCGGGACTGAGGCATCCCCAGAGGCTTCTGCTACTAATTGGCCTTTGTTTCCTGGGATGTTTTCCCTCACCATGGCGTGGGGCAGCTCTTTCCTGGCATACAGTTTCCCTCACCCATCACGAACTGTTTCCTGTCCTCAGTATCCTCTAGGGTAGAGATCAGACGTGTTTCCTCCCAGGGGATCGCTTCCACCTGCACCCCCAGTTGGCTTTCCTTTTTTCTTTTTTCTGGAATGCATTGATCTTTTTTCAGTGGGCTCTTCCTTTTTCTCTGCCCCTTGCGGTTTTTGTAGACAATCCTCCACTGTTGTTGTGAAGGTGAATGTACAACCTGAGTCTCATTGTTCAACACCTATTTATTAAGTGGCTACTTTGTACCCTTGAAACACCATTCCTTTGCATTCCCTGCCGAGCATGATTTTGAATCCTCCAGAATCTTTGTTTCTGTCTCTGCAGAGCTAAGAAGATACAACAACAATTAATGGCTGTTTTGAGTCCTTTGGCAGCTTATTGTATCATTAGCCTTATGAGCTGACTTTCTTTAGTGGAGAAAGGGGGCTGAGAGGCCAGAAAGTGCTTCTTTCCCTCTCACTTAACTCCTGGGGAAGCAGTTCCTTTCCTGTGTATCTGAGCTGAAAGTCAGCCAGTCCACAAACGGGTTCAGAGATAAAAGGGTCTGTGTTAGGGGGCCTCTCGGGATTCTGCTTTTATCGTAGGAGGTGCAGATGGATAGGCACACATGCACAGGACTCTTTCCCTGAGTGAGAATCTTCCTCTCATCTCTGTGACATGTGCAGTTTTGTATACCTTGGTGTTTTTGATGCTATGTGGGGTCTGAAAGAAAGCTTTGGAAAATGCCTAATATATCACCGGAAGATTTCTCAAGTTTCTCTTCCTTTTCCCTTGTCCCACAGTCAAGGAAATAATGTTGCTGCTGATGTCGGACATCATTCCATTTGGCTTGAGGACATGCAGACTCTGACAGGAGAAATCTTCAGAACTGATAAGAAACCGGATCCTGCAAACTGGGAATATAAGTCTCTTTACCGAGGGGATATAGCAAGGTACCCAGAATGCTTTCCCCTGACTCTTGCTGTTGGAAGTAACGTGTTTCTCCTCTGAACTCTTAGCATTGTCTGTTTGCCTCTTATTTCTCCCTGATGGATTCTTTTGGCCCTATTATTATTGTGCTGTTAAAGGGACATATTTCATCTCACATTCTAAATTGAAAGTGTGATCTTTGAAGTCAGGTCAGATTAACCTTGATTTATTCTTGGGGCTTAGCATAGTGGCTGATGTAGCAGGTATTTAATAAATGTTGAATGAATGAACCTAAAAATACAGTAATTAATTGTGATGAGTATCCAGAAGCCATTTGTTCTAATCTATATACCATTTTAAAAAGTAGAAAAGTCCTTTTATGTGTTCGTCCCCCACATGTGCCATTTCAGAAAATGACATTAAATGTTAATGACTTTTCAGATTATTTCTAGCATATAACACCAGATGATCATAAGAATAGGTGGTATTTGCTATAGTATTTGTTGTAATGAGTTTGAACTTTTTCCCTGTAAACTTAAATCAAAAACAACAACAGGGCTGGTGAGATGGCTCAGTGGTCTAAAGCACCTACTTAGAACAAGCTTAGCAAAGCACAGGGACCACGGTTCAATCCCCCAGCACCACATGCCAGCCAGCCCCGCCCCCTGGTGGGTTGAGCTGGCCACACACACACACACACACACACACACACAAACAAATAATTAAACAACAACAACAAATAATTTACATAAGCCAGGCCCAATGACTCAGATGTGTAATCCCAGTTACTTGCGAGACTGAGGGAAGAGGATTGAGACTTCAGGGTCAGCCTTGGCAGCTTGATGAGACCCTGTTGAGTACTAATGGAAACTTTAGATACTAATTTGTAGGAAACTTGGGAACAATAATGAACAATAGTATACAGTCTTTGTGGGTAATGAAAAAGGTAAAGAATCATAGAATATAGGGTCAAGAGGAAATTTTAGAGTTATTCTAGATAGGCCAGTTGCTTTAAAGTAAATTTCATTTTCCAATACTTTATTGTACTTCCAAATTTTAATCATGTTTCACTCATTCTGATATTATACCTCATCATATAATTCCAACTAAAATTTCTTTTATGAGTTTATTACAGTTTTTTTTTAATTATTTATTTATTTGTGTGTGTGTGTGTGTGTGTGTGTGTGTGTGTGTGTGGCCAGCTCAGCCCACCAGGGGGCGGGGCTGGCTGGCATGTGGTGCTGGGGGATTGAACCGCGGTCCCTGTGCTTTGCTAAGCTTGTTCTAAGTAGGTGCCTTAGACTACTGAGCCATCTCACCAGCTCAATTACAGTTGTTTTTAATCTATAATGTTGACTAAAGCCTTGCAGCAAAGAATAAATGACTGTCAAATTTAAAGTACAGTAATAGTGTTTGTAAATAGGATATCATGTCTGCATCTTGTACAGCAAATAACCACTAGGAAGAGAATATGCAATGTGCTAATTATTGAAACTGTCCTACCAATTTGATTTAAAACTGTCTCATTGCTGTTTGTCTCTCAATAAAATTATGGGGGAAAAAAATAAACAACTGAGGTAACTGAAATAAAAGAAAATATATATATATTTGGATTTGGACCCAGAGCCTTTGCACTGAGCTGATTCCAGAATCCTTTTATTTTTTATTTTGAGATATGGTTTCACCAAGTTACCCAGGTGGGGCTCAAACTTATGATCCTCCAATTGGCCTCTTAGAGTGCTGGGATGTGTCACCATGCTTTTTGGATATTTATTTATTTATTTATTTATTTATTTATTTATTTATTTTGGCGGAACTGGGGTTTGAACTCAGGCCCTTGTGCTTGCCAGGCAAGCGTTTATTCTACTGAGCCATCTCCCCGGCCCCCTGGGTTATTTTAACACATCTGCAGTCTTCGTTGGTTTCTGTGCTGTGACAGATGGATCTGGATCCCCACAGACAAGGTCAACAAACAGGACCTGGTGGGAGGTGAGCGCTGTGGCTCTCTGCTCCTTGCAGGGGATGGCCACAGTAGCACCTTGGGGAGGAGAAGAACCTTAGGGAGGCTAAGTAACTGCTGCAGACCAGGCAGCCAGGGAGCAACACGCTTGGGATTTGAGCCACAAATGGAAATGAGACGGCTTTGTGGTAGGACGCTGTGAAGTAGAAAACAAGGACCCACACTCCCATTGTCTCTGCCATCTACTAGGGCATAGTCCCAAGCAAGAAACCTGTTTGTTGAGCTTGTTTTTAATTTGTAAATTTGGAATTAGAATTCCTGTCCTGCCTTACACTCATTATTAATATTTGATACAGAATCGGTATGCAACTTAAAATGGTTATTATTTATTAATAGATGAAAAAAGGAGAAAACATTACTAAAAAGTGGCTCTTGAGGTTCTGCTAATGAAAAGGCAGAGCCTCAGGAAGAGAGTAATTAGGCACAGCTTCATTAGTGTAAAGTACAAAGAGAGTTCTTGACATTGTTGATTGCCTCATACCTTGGGTGAGTTTCACTGGAGCGATGTTACCCGGATTGGTGGCTGTATAGACTGCTAGTCCCCAGGTCTGGGAAGATGTGGATTCCACAGCAGCCTGAGCTGGCCAGAGGATAGTAGGAGTGCTCTGACAAGTCCTGAGTTTCCACACTTGAGGAGGGACAGTGACAATCCAAGGGCCTTGCGAGGATGGTGAGAAGTTACTGTGATTAGACTTGCTCCATCCTTTAAGAGCTGGATGAGGGGAGTGAATATTTGACCTGTGGCAGGGACATGATAATGATCATTTAAGCTTTTTTTAAAAAAATATTTTAGGAAAGGGTCTGCAGGTTGTTCAGGGTCTTACTGCTAGATCAGACTCAGTGATCCGCATGTTTACAGCCTCCCAAATGCTGGGATCATAGGCGCATGCGCCACCACTCCCAGTCTTAATTGCCATCTCAGCATGCCCCTGGGGTGGGGCTGGCATGGCAGGCATGGCAGGCCTGGGGATCGAACCCCTGGTTACTGTGCCTACTTTAAGCTTTAAAATTTTTTTTTACTATATTTTATTTTAGTTGTTTGACACATGATCTTGCTGTGTAGTTCAGGCTGGCCTTGAACTCATTATGTAGCCTAGGTTGGGCTTGAACTCATTCTAGCTTAGGCTGGCCTTGAACTCTCAGCCATCCTCCTGCCTCTGCCTCCTAAGTGCTGGGACTACAGACAAGTACCACCATGCCTTGGTGTTTAAAGTGAGGCCTTTAGGAAATGGTTGGATTAGATTTTGGTCATTTGGGGTGAGTCTCATGGCTGAATACTTTGGCTGTGTAAGGAGAGGGTGAGAGACCAGATAGGCGCAGAGGTCTACATGTACTCCTGCCATGATGTGATGTGGTAAAAGGGGCCCTCAACAGGGCTTGCATCATGTTCTTTGGACTTGTGGCCTCCAAAACTATGAGGCAACCCAGACCTCTTTTCTTTATAAGGTAGCCTGTCTCCAGTATTTTTTTTTTTTTCCAAGCCATGACCATTTAATTCAGATCACATAACTTGAGATGCACTCCTAACATATAACCTTCTTATATTGTTTAACTGCAAATAAAGTTTCTTTTCAGGGCATCAGTGCAACTAAGTTGGAATTAGCTAAATAAACTTCTAATGCCATTCTTTTTTTTTTTTTTTTTGCGGAACTGGGCATTGAACTCAGGCCCTTGCGCTTGCCAGGGAAGTCTAATGCCATTCTTTTTTTTTTTTTGCAGAACCAGGGATTAAACTCAGACCCTTGTGCTTGCTGGGGAAGTGCTTATTCCACTGAGCCATCTCCCCGGCCCCCTCTAATGCCATTCTTAAAGTACTATAAATATATTGAGTTAAACATTACTTTTTTTTTATTTTTTTTTTAGGACTGATGATAAATGATGAGGCAGAATAGCTTCAGCAGATTTCCTAGCCCTAGACCCCTAAATTAAGTTTGTACTGACTTTAAATACTGGTGGCTTTTTAGGAATGAGAGATCTGTGTTGCTGAGTACCCACCCACTCTTTAATGCAAAGACTTATGTTTATTTTTTCAAATGAGTCAATCTCACTAACACGTAAGCCCTTAGCAGACCCCCAAGAAAAGACCAATTTGTAAAACAGGGCCATTTTAATGTTTTTACAATTTAATAAATAGTTTTATTGACAATGTAGTCATGAGAGTTGTTCAGCAGTATTCAAGTTATGGTTTTCCTGATTGGTCTATAGTCTTCAATAAGTGTAAAACGTTATTATATGAAACATCTGTCAAACTAGTAAGACTGCACTGATGCCTCCACCATTTTCAGGATTGTTGGTTACCTGGGCGTATTTACCCCAGATAACCTTGCCTCCTTGTGTCACAAGGCCCAGCTTGCTCACATTCACATCAGTCACTGTTCCTTTGGTAATAACACCCAAAGTGGTATACAGTGGTGATGAAGGATTCTTTTTCACACCAAGTATTGTCAGGCAAAAGGTGGCTTTTTTGTTTGTTTTTGGGTTTTTTGGTGGAACCAGGGATTGAACTCAGGCCCTTGCTCTTGCCAGGCAAGCACTTATTCTACTGAGCCATCTCCCCATCCCCAAAAGGTGGCTTTCAGTTAAGCCCATTGGCCTAATGCATCTTTCATATTTAGGTGGTTAGTATTTTGTTACAGTAATGAGTAGCTGACTAATAGACACCCGTTGTAATAACCTGGCCAAGTTCATTCGGCTAGCCACTGGTAGTCGTGGAATCTGGACGTAGGTAGTTTGGCACTATGTGGGGTGAGTGAGAGTGGAAAGCACTGAAGGAAAAGCACATTTCTTTTGCTCATCCCAACTCACTCCAGGGCCAGCCTCACCAGTACATTCAGGACACAGCCGTGTGCTCCACTTAGAGATGTTTATTGTCTCTGTTTTGTCATCTTTGGCCAAGTGTCTGTAGTTGCATCCATTTAAATTAAGTGCATATAAGGTGTCACTTATTGAAGCTCTGAAGTTCCTACCTCTGAAATTATTTAAGTGAAGTCTAAGAGATTATTTGATGAGGAATTTATGGGAAAAGTACCTTCATTTGGGGAAATATTGCATTAAATTATAACCTATTGCTGTCTAGGTATTGAGATTCTATGATGTATAATTGAAATATTCAACAATAGGAAAATAGTTAAATTATCATAATTCATACAACAGAAAAGTATGATTTGAAGCCAGTAAAATTCTGTTTTCTAAGAGTAGTGGTATGGAGATAGGCTTAAAAGTAGGGGGAAGCTTGAAGTTGTTTATATACTGTTAGCTGTTTTTAAAAAGGGTGTGCTGCCCGGCATTACAAATCCCAGCCCTCGGGCAGGAGGAGTTGAGGCAGGAGGCTCATTGTGAGTTTGAGACTAACCTGGGCTGCAAAATGAGCTGAAAGCCAGACTGAACTGCATAGTGAGACCCTGTCTCAAAAAGACAAAAACAAAACAAAACAAAAATGTGCATATGCAGAAACAGACAAGATTCTTTTTTCCCTTCTCAGCATTTTTAATTTGCTACACAAAAGCCAAGTAAACATTTTAATAAATTATATGCATACCTAAGATACAGTATGTTTTTAACTAATGAAGAATCAATACTATTGAAGTAGCTGTAAAGACACAAAATTAGCTTTTTTACTTATAATTTGACCCTTGAAGAATGACAGCGTATTGAGGGCAGCCTGATGCTTGGTGTTCTGTCCTGTCAGAAACACACAAACCTTCGTTCTGTTTGTGTGTGTGTCTCTGTACCTGTGCATGGCAAGCATGCGCTGGACTGCCTCAGCCCCACTTGTGGTTTTTTCTGATTCCCAGTGCAGTAGGAAAAGATTGTTTTAGATTGATCTAGGAGGAACTGAGTGTGACAGAGAAAGGGTTTGTTTTGCTCTGTTTTCTGTTGCTATACAGAAATATCTGAGAACAAGTAATTTACAAAGAAGCTTATTTGGCTTCCAGTTAGGCAGGGCAGTCCTAGAGCGTGGTGTGAAGTTGAGCTCAGCATCTTCCTGCTGCATCATAGCATGGCGGAGGGCATCACATGGCGAGACGGAGCGAACATGCCAGCTCAGGTCTCTGCCTTTCCGCCTCACAGAGCTGTGGTCCTATGGTGGGGGCCCTATGCTGGTTTCCTATCTCGTCACATTGCCTCCCAGAGCCACTCCTCCACACAGCATCATCAGATCAACTTGGGGTTAGGTTTAAATGCGTGGCAGGCTTTGAGGGAGAACTTGTGTGTGTATGTGAGGAAATATTTTCCTAAAGTGAACCTCTGCCCCGAGCAGTGATGAGTCAAGGTAGGTGAGAGGGCCCCGGGACAGTGCAGAGAGCTGGGTGGGCTGGTGAGAAGGGTGGCAGAGGTTTCTGGGAGCTGACAGAAATGGAGGCTGCACTTCCCTGCCCGTTTCTTACAGATGTTCAAATACCCAGCGGAAGTTGAAAGAACTTGACACTGATTACCCATCTCCTGCACTCCATCTCTCAGGTTCTCCTGTAGTTGCTTTGTCACACATTTGTTTGCCAACCATCTTATTATTGTTTGGATGCATTTAAATGAACCGCAGAGTATAGGTCCTACTGCCTGAATATCTCAGCATGCGTATTACTAGCTAAAACTCAAGATTTTTAAAATTTAAAGCTTACATTGTAATATGTTGATTGGGGTATTGACAAATGCATACATCTGTGTAACCCAGACCTCCGTGAAAATGCACAGTGTGCCCCTGCCCCCGTGTTTCCCTCGTGCTCCCTTCTGGTTGGTCGCCACCCACACTTCCCACTCTACCCTTGATTAGTTTTGCCGGGTCAGAGTTTCATATACATGGAATTGTACAGCGCACTGTTTCGTATTTGGGTTCCTTTACTCAGTACAGTGTTTTTGAGGTTTATCCATTGGCATTTATAAGCATTTCCTTTGTTTTTTTTTTTACATTTTATTGCTAAGTTTTAGAGATATATAGTGATAACATTCATCCTATGGAGAGTGTACTTGTATTCCTTTTTACTGCTGGCAGCTTTGCATTGAGTGACTATACCACCATTTATCCATCCTGCTGTTGATGGACACCTGGACTCGTTCCAGTGTTTGGCTGGTAAGAATACAGCACTGAGAACATTTGTATGCATAAGTCTTTGTGTATACTTATGGTTTCCTTTCCTTGGATAAATACCTAGGAATAGAATTGCTGGGTCATAGGGTAGGTCTGTGTTTAATATTTTAAGAAACTGCCAAACCCTTTTCCAAAGCGATTGTATCAGTTTATGTTCCTACCAAAAGTGTATGAGAATTGTAGTTATCATTGTTCTGAGGGTGTGTAGTGTGTTTGTCTGTCTTATTGTGGTTTTAAATTTTAAAAATATTTATTTATTTAGTACAGGGTCATACTACACAGCTTGGACTCGTAGTGATTCTCCTGTTTTCAGCCTCCTCAGTGCTGGGATTACAGGTGTGCGCCACCACTCCCAGTCTTGGTGGCTCTGTCTCAGTGGCCAGCTCTGCGCGCCTGGGGATGGGGCCAGCGCAGCATGTGGTCCCTGGGATCGAACCTGGGTCCTTGCACTTGCCAGACAGGCGCTTAGACTGCAAAGCTATTTCCCCAGCCCTCACCATGGTTTTAATTAGCGTTCCTTTGATCACTAATGATATTGGGTACTTTTTCATGTTCCTGTTGGCTATTTGTGTCTTCTTGTATAAAATTTCAGCTCATATCTTTTGCTCAGTTTTTAATGGGGTTGTTTGCTGTTACGCAGACAGAAAAGTAAGCAATTGTCTTTAGCCTTTGCCTGTGGAAGTATTCAGTAGTCATCTATTGGTATAAAAGCATTTTAAAATCTGTCCTCTATTCTCCAGAGTAGAAAAGCCACCAAATAGAAGTTCATTTGACATATTTTATTTCAGGATTTAAAAAAAAAAAGAATCTTAGATACAGTCTTAAGTAGGTATGCAAGAGGATCTTAAGAAAATGGGACTGATCTAGGTGACAGGTGACCTAGGATCCGGGTCTCAGTGTGCTGATTTAGGAACTGTGGGAAAGGGGGTGATAGTTTCTGCCTCGCCTGTCATATATGAATGTGATAGTCGCGTGACAACATATGACAGTACTTTAACTACAAAGCTCCAGAAAAGTACAAGTTTCTAAGACTTAGAAGACAAACATTATTTTTATCCAGGGAGATGTTAATAAAGGGTTACACTGTTACAGGAAGAAATCAAGCCCGACCGAGGATTTGATCCCCAGGCCTGCTGTGCCAGCACTGCCCCTGGAGCTCCCTGAGCTGGCAATTGAGATTGGGTGTGGTAGCGTGTGCCTATATTCCCAGCTCTTGGGAGGCTGTAAACAGACGGATCATTGTGAGTCCAATCTAGTAGTGAGACCTTGAACACCCTGTAGACCCTTCCCTAAAATACAAAAAAAAAAAAAAAAGGAAAAGAAATTAAGCCCAACAAAAGCAAGCTAATTCTCATATGTCTCTAAAGAGAAACAGTTGAAGGCAAGGTGAATTTGTATAGATGCAGAGAATTTGGATGACAAGAGATGGGTCTAATGGACACCCAGTCACTAGTAGGGAGTAACTGCTTTCTTTTTTTAATGTTAGGTATAAGAGGAAAGGGGACTCCTGCCTGGGCATTAATCCTAAGAAACAGTGTGTATCTTGGGAAGGCGTTTCCACAGCCAAGAAGCATTCACACAAGCACATCGAACGCTATTTTACCAAGAAGAGTGTGGGATTAATGAACATCGACGGAGCTGCTGTTACCAGTAAAGTTGAGCCTCCGTCCTCCGAGCCAGTCTTGTTTATCCCAGTGAAGGACTCGGAAGATGTGGCTGCTCCAGTTACAAGCTGGCTGAATCCTCTGGGGATTTATGATCAGTCAACCACACAGTGGTTACAAGGACAGGGTCCTTCAGGGCAGGAATCAAAGCAGTCAGACTCCCAGCCAGATAGAGAGAATGCTGTTCTCAAGGCCAAGGTGGAGGAGTTTAACAGGAAGGTTCGGGAGAATCCTCGGGACATTCAGCTGTGGATGGCATTTGTGGCTTTTCAGGTGAGTGTCACTCTCCTGGTTCTCTTGCCCCGATGTCTTCCCTGATGCTGGGCAGGCCAGTTGCTCCATGACTTTTTGAGCTTCTGGAAGAAACCCTGACCCTGGGCACATAAAGATGGCTAGAGTGTGGTCATTGCTCTCAGAGTCCATGAGGAAGCCTGACCCGTGAGGAATCATGCAGCCTGCAGGGGGATGTGCTCCTATTACTTGAGAACGCAGTGACTTGTCACTGGGGAGGAAGAAAGGCTGCCAAGGGTAAAGGAAACTAGAATAGACCCTTTGTGTTTTGTGATGCTGGAGATGCAGCCCAGCATGATCCACACTAAGCATGTGCTCTGCTGCTGAGATGCAGCTCCTGGCCAGCAACAGACTCAAGAGGGCAGTAGGTATTCTCCAGGAAGGGAGAGGTGTTCCTGAAGTATAAACTGCTCAGGCAGAGTGTACAGAATTGTGGAAAGACAGGATGCTCAGGAAGTTACTGAGCATGCAGGCCCACTAGAGCTTCCCAAAATAGATGTCTTTATCTGCCTTTTGAGCCATTAGATTTGGTTGCACAGTTGGATGTGTTACCGATGAGGTTGGCTCTTCAGAAAAAGGATTTCTGACATTGTACATAAATCTAAGTTAAAAACGAGCACTCAGAAGGCTGAGGCAGGAGGATCATTGCGAGTTCAAGGCCAGCCTGGGCTACAAAGTGAGTTGAAGGCCAGTCTGAGCTGCATAGTGAGACCCTGTCTCAAAAAGAATGAAAAAACAAAAACAGACAAACAAAACAAAACAAAAAAAGATAGTAGCCAGGTCAGTTAGGAGAATAAGGACATAAGCATCCTAGAAACTTGAGTTTTCGTTGAAAGATACTGTGATAAATAAGTGGCCTTCAACAAAGTCCGAGTAACATTTTGTTCAGAGAGGTGAAAAACCCATCAAGGGCTGTCAGTTGCTTTCAGAACAGTTGATTGAACTCTGTGGCTCTGAGGCCCCCTTCATTTGCCTTAGTAACTGGTGTTTGGTTATTGAGGATGAGGTCATGAAGAGCCCTGGCCTGTATGCCATTGAGGATGGAGAGCAGGAGAAACGGAAGAAGTCCTTGAAGCTCATCCTGGAGAAGAAGCTGGCCATTCTGGAGCGGGCCATTGAGAGCAACCAGAGCAGCGTGGACCTGAAGCTCGCCAAGCTGAAGCTCTGCACCGAGTTCTGGGAGCCTCCCACCCTGGTCAAAGAGTGGCAGAAACTGATCTTTCTCCATCCCAACAATACCGCCCTTTGGCAGAAATACCTTTTATTTTGCCAGAGCCAGTTTAGCACCTTTTCCATTTCCAAAATCCACAACCTTTATGGAAAGTGCTTGAGCACTTTGTCTGCGGTCCAGGATGGCAGCATCCTGTCACACCCTGCGCTGCCTGGCACAGAAGAGGCCATGTTTGGTAAGTGAGGGATGAGGAGGGAAGAGTAATACTTTCTTGCGTTTGACTTCAGTTGAAAATGAAATTCTTTTTTTCCTTGGGCCAGCCAAAGAGCTCAGTGGACTGAAGTGCCTGCTTAGACAAGTGCAGGGACTGGGGTTTGATCCCCAGTGTGCTGTGCCAGCCTGGCCCTGCCCCTGGGGCATGCTGAGACTGAGACTGGGCATGGTAGTATGCCTGTAATACCAGCACTTGGGAGCCTGAAAACAGGAGGATCACTACGAGTCCATTTGGTGTACTGAGACCCTGTGGTCCCTGTACTAGAATAAATTTAAATTTTATCTTTTTTTTTTTTTTTTTTTTTAAACTGGGGATTGAGCTCAGGCCCTTGCACTTGCCAGGCAAGTGCTTATTCTATTGAGCTATTTCCCCAGCCCCTAAAAATTTTTTTGTGTGTGTGTGTGTGCGTGTGCAAGGGTTTCATTATGCAGCTTGGACTCCTAGTGATCCTCCTGTTTTCTGCATTTGTAGTGTTGGGATTACAGATATGCACCACCACGGCCGGACTCCAGCACCAGCACCAGCTCAGTGTACCCAGAGCCTGGGGTCGGCACAGCGTGTGGTTCCAGGGATTGAACCCTGGCCCCTGTGCTTGCCTAACCAAGTGTTTAGTCTGCTGAGCTATCTTGCCTGCCCTAAGAACAATTTTTTTTCTTGTAGTTTTTTGAGACAGGCTCTCACTGTGTCATTCAGGCTGGCTTTGAACTTGCTGTGTAGGTCCATGCTGGCCTCAGACTCGCAATGATCCTCCTGCTTTGTCCCCCTAAGTATTGGGATTACAGTTGTGTAACCACCACATGCAGCTGAAGATTTTGATTTTAAGAGTCTAAATTGTGAAAATGACTTTTTAAAAAAGTGCCGTAACTCAGGTTTTTTAAATTTAAAAAAATTTTTTTGGCGGAACTGGGGATTGAACTCGGGCCCTTGTGTTTACTAGGCAAGTGATTATTCTACTGAGCTTTCTCTCCAGCCCTCAAGTTAATTATAACAAATTATCTCCCATTTTCCAGCGCTCAGGGTGGATAGGTGGGGTGAGATTAGAGTCTGCTGAGTTAGGAAAGTAACACTGGACAGGAAGCTCCAGGTTTCCTACTTATGGAGCAAGTCAGATCTTTGACCGTTAGGGGTCTTACCTGTTGCGACGGCTCATTTAGGGGTCTCTGGCACTAATGTACATGCGATGCCATACTGACTGTGTGGGTGTAAATTACTTGTGGTATTATGCTGTTAGTGTTTTTGGTCTGTCCCAAAGAAACCTAGAATATGAATGTGTCTGTCTTCAGCGCGAATCTTGGGTTTTCCCATCATTTAGCTGCACTGTGACCTTAGGCAGCTTCTTGACCGATGTGAGCTCCAGGTCTCCATCAGGAACAGTAGTGTAATACCTGCTTTATAGCACTTTTGTACACATTAAATGAGAGCTGCGTGGTGAGTCCCGCTCAGTGTGGGGCATATGGCAGGCATTTGCTTGAAGGTGAGTATTACCTACAGTGTTAGTGTGGTGCTCTAGAGTACTAAGCACTTCCCATACTGGCAGAGTCTGACATTTGGGGCAGGAGTATAGTTAGTGGTAGAACCAGCCTGTCAGGTACAAGGCCATAGGTTTAATCTTTAGCACTAAATACATATTTGGCATTATTTATGATGTGCTTAAATAGCTTCGTGTTGTTAACTAAGTGGAATGATACCACAATTAAGATGGATGGATGGATTTCAAATGTGGGCCTTTGATTTGTTCCCAGTGAGCTGGACATAAAGTGCAGTTTGCTGGTGAACAGTGCCACCTAGTGGTGTGTTGGGTGCTGATACATGCTTTCTCAGAAAAATCTACACCATCCTTTTTTCTGTAGTTTTTCTTATATAGTGAGCTTTGCATTTTTGACAGCAATATTCATATCAACCACCTGACTTATTTTTATGTAACATATATTTTTAATGTTAACATTTTTATTCTGTGGTGGCTTAATATAAGAATTATAAAAATTATTTGGATCACAGTACCATTGTTACTCCTTTAAAATCAGGTTGTGTGTAAAATCAGGACTTGTGTGTTACAGCTTTGAAATGTAACAGTAATTTCTGGTCAGAGGATTCTTGGTGTTTCATTGCAATTTACCCTTCAGTGGTATTAACAAAGACCCTTCTCTTTGCCCTCCTGTGGTAGCGCTCTTTCTTCAGCAGTGCCATTTTCTGCGGCAGGCTGGCCACTCGGAGAAGGCTGTCTCTTTGTTCCAAGCCATGGTTGATTTCACCTTCTTCAAACCCGACAGTGTGAAAGATCTTCCCACCAAAGTCCAGGTACCAAGCTCCACTTGCATGATCTGTCACTCTCTCAGACATAGTCCAGTGATCCAAGGAAAATTCCACACCGAAGGTGTGAACTATGGCTAGATAAGAGAAGCGTCCTCCCTTCTCCCCAAATAGAGACGCACTGATACCCTTTCTTATGTGACTCCCATTTCTTTGTTACATTTCAGTACTGAGAATTGAACCCAGGGCCTTTGCTGCCTCTCCAGCCCTTTTGTTATTTTTTATGTTGAGAGAGGGTATCACTAAGTCTCTTAAATAGCTGAGGCTGAGCTCAAGTTTGTGACCCTCCTGCCTCCGCCTCCCAGAGTGCTGGGATTGCAGGTGGGCCCACTATGCCTGGCTGCTCTTGATTAAGTGCAGGTTCCTTCCTCAGTCGGGAACAGCCCGAAGCACTCTCTACCACGTCTGTGCCTGCTGGCCTGGGACTCGTGTCGCTGCCTCAGGGAACCTCTCCAGTGCTTCAGTCTTAGAGTTGCAGAGAAAGTCACAGTCAGTGTCTCACTGAGGAGGGTTCAGTCCTTCCGATGGCAAGGAACCCTGCCAGGGTTTGTTCCATGAAACAATCACAGTATCTTGCCGTAGAGCTGTGTGTATGTGAGACTCTGTCTCTTCACTTTTTTTTTTTTTCACTTAAAGTTTCATTTTTATTTTTGTTCTATTTATTTAATTAAGACGAAATGATAAAATATGAGAAAGAGGAATTTATACATTTTTACACAACATGCAATGACACTTTGGAGAATAATAGAGCAGAATGCAGGATCAGGAAGACATGTGGGAATTCCAACCACACCAAAGAGAAAAGCATGTGTGATTTAGCATTGAGATTATTACAACAAAGAAAGGGCTCAAATTCTCCACATGGTATAGGTTTGGCATTGAGGAAGTCT